AGTGCTGACTGTTGTTGAGTCTTCTTTCAATCCATGATATCACATTCTTTTTCCTGTAGTTTAGATTCTTAAATTTTTTTTACATACAATTTTTATTTTATACTGGTTTACTTACAAAGTTTGTATACTTTGTTTTTCACACTGGATCTTTCCCATTTCCCTTACTCACTCATATGTCCACCTAGCAAATTGTGCGACCCTATGATTATCGCTACCCAGCCCATCTTGATCCTTCTGTTCCCACCCTCCCACCCTTGGATCCTTGTATATGTTTTACTAGTTATCTATTTCTACAATAATGGTCTTATACAGTACTTGTCCTATGGGGCTGAGTTACTTCACTTAGCATAATACTCTCCAGTCCCTCCCAAGTTAGGTAATAATTTACAAAATCATGTACCATAATCCCTCAATCCATTCATCTGTGGTTGGACATTTGGGCTATTTCCATGTTTTTGCAATGGTGAAGAAAGTTGCTATACCTTTGTGCCTCTGTTCTCATTTTCTCAGCGTATATTCCAAGCAGTTGAATAGCTGGGTCATATGGAATTTCTATGTTCAGCTTTCTGAAAAAAAGCCTAACTGCCTTCAAAAATGGCTGTACAATTTTACAATCCCACCAACAGTTTATAAGAGCTTCTTTCTCACTACATCCTTTCCAACATTTATTGCATGCTGTTCTATTAAACTTTGCCACTGCTACTGGAGTGAGATGGCATCTCTCTTATTGGTAGTGATTTGGATCATTTCATCATTAGTCTGTTGGACATCTGAATATCTTCCTCTGTGAAAAGTCTTTAGCCCATTTTGTAATTACGTTATCAGTCTTTTTCTTGTGGAGCCCTACAGGATTTTGTAAACTTTTTATATGAGACTCTTGTCTGAAATGGTATTGCCAAATGGTTTTTCTCAATCAGCAGGTTTACTTTTCAATCTGTTGGAAATTTTTTTTATATGAACAGGGATTTAATCTTCAGAAGGTCAAATTCATCAATTTTATCCTCTCCAGATTGTACATTTCTGGCTGATTTTGGAAGTCTTGTCATACTTCTAAGCCATCTAAGCTTGATTCCAGTTTGTCTCTGATGACTTTTATGATTTTGTGATTTGCTCCCAGATCTCTGATTCACCCTGAGTTGAAATTTGTGTATGATGTGAGATGTAGATCCTGTTTCAGCTTTCTGCAGGTAGCAGTCCAGTTTTGCCATCACCATTTGTTAAAGATGTCATTTCCCAATTTGATAGGGTGGGGGTTTTGTTTGTTTATTTTCTTTGAGTGCATTTGATACAGGATATGGTCTTTGCAATCACTTATCATGTAT